TTCTGGTACGACAATTGGTCGCCACATGGAAATCTGTTATCATTGTTTGGAGCTAGAGGCTGTGTCGATTTGGGTATTCCCCATACAGCTACAGTTGAGGATGCCATCCGAATGCATAGACGATGAAGACATCGGGTTCAGAAGCTGAATGAGGTTGAGGATGCTCTTGAGGTATTAAAGCAGAGATATCGATAGTCAGAGGATGATATATTCTTATGGAAGTTTAAGGCTGATACGTACAAGGAGGATTTTAGTGCAAAAGCTACACGGGACCGGCTTACAACTCCAGCCAGAGTTCCGTGGGCTGAAGGGATATGGTTCAAGCATCACAGCCCAAAGTTCGGGTTAATAGCTTGGCTTGCCTTACACAACTGACTTTCGACGGGAGATCATATGCAGCATTGGAATCCACATATTCCAGTGTCGTGTTCCTTCTGCCAAGCACAATTGGAGACGAGAGAATACCTGTTTTTCTCATGCTCTTTCTTGACAAGGATATGGACGAATGTAGCTCAGGGTATTCTGCTACAAGATTTCACCACGGATTGGAGGACAATAGTTACTCTTATATCGTGACGTCAGCAGCATCGGGTAAAAGGTTTCATTGCTCGATACTTGTTCCAACAGGCTATTCACGCAATACGGAGAGAAAGGAATGCCCGAAGACATGGTACTCCTTCTTCGGACTGGCAAAGATTAGTAAAGATAATTGACAAGGGGATGAGAAACATCTTTAGCACCATTCATATTCAGGGACACCAAGTATGAAGATCGTACTCAGATGTGGTTTGCCTCACGGCTGCAGACATGAGTTGGAGAAAGCACAACATGAAAAAGACACTCATAACTCGTTTTTGTTTTAATAGTTTGTTTGTTTTAGATTAAACGCTTGCATCTTTGATGTAAAAAACGCTTTTTTTTTGTTTGAATAAATTTAATATTCATCCGAAAAAAAAGAAAAACCATTAAAAATTACTGGCCTTAAACGTCTCTTAATATGTATGTCTTTTAAGTCAGATTTGCGTTTACGAGCTCACTCAATTTTGACTAGAAATCAAGATTAATATTAACATGGATTTTGTTTGTGATGTCTACTAGGACATAGGTTTTTTGGAGAAAGAATAAAGGAATATGAAGAAGAACTGAATGATAAAGCTATAACTGAAACAAAACAACTTTGCTTCTTCAACCGAATACATCAGTTTAATAAACTAGCTAGGTTTACTTCAGCTTCCACAACATTCGAACTCTCTTCTTCACCAAAGAGTTTCGTAACCCTTTTCTTCTCTCGTATATAGTAGTCTCTTCTAGATACTTGACATTTGATACTTGTTATCTCTTTACTCTTCCAATTAAGTCGAGTATCTACACGCCTCATAAGGTGGATCTACAAGTTAAATGTTTGAGCTAGAAAAGGGGTTTGCTTGGTGTTGACTGTAGAGACTGTTTAACCCATTTCACAGTTTTAAAACTTTTTTTTTTTTGTCAAATAGACTTTTTTAATTTTTTTTTAAATTTTAAAGTCCTAAAAGTTAGGCTTTTTTATTTTGGTCATGTATCTTAAAAGTTGATTATACACAAAAAACTAATAAAAATAGATATGTTTAATTTTTTTTCTATTTATTTTTCTTTAAAATCATTTAAAAGACTTTGTACATTTATACAGAAGTAATTATGAACTAAATTTAATTGATTAAATCTTATTTTTTTGTCAGCTTTCTTTTGAGATCTATTTCTCTAAAAAAAATTAATTTAAAAATTATTTATAATTTAAAACATAACAGTAAAGTTTTACCAGAAATTATTTATAATTTAAAACATAACAATTAATTTTAAAGCTAAAAATCTATAGTAAAAACTAAAAGTAAAAGTGGTTTTTACAATAGATCCAATAAATCTATGGTAGTAGTTTTTACAATAACAAAAAATGTTGACGGAAAAATAAAGAATGATAAAAGTTTGAAATCAAGTCATGTTTGTAAAAAGTTTAAAAAGCAAAAAAAAGGGGTAGTACTATATAAACAGTTCTCTTTTCAGTGAGCAGTTATTTATAGTTCTTTATACCAAGATCTCTGCATTCTCAAGTTTCTAGTTAAAAAATTGTATAACTTTGAGCAATAATATGTATAGAAAAAAATGAATTATATTTATAAAACTATAATATATATGATGTCATTAATTTATCATTCAAAATTAAGTACCTTGTAGATATAGCTAGCACTTACCATCGACAGTAATTAGTTAATTACTTAGATTCAAATGATATATTGACATTTAGTTACATCCATAGATATTTTGACGTATTGGTATATTCCTATTGCTGCTATAAGTCTATAACTGAAGGAATCAATTTGTAGAAGGAAACAAAGAAGATTGAAAAGCAAAGAGGACCACGAAGCACAGTGTTACACGTTGTCCATGTCATGTGTATACTAAACTTGTGAACTGTCCCACCGACCGTCCAATATGATTATATTAATTAACTTTCATTTAATTCTATTCTAATTCAATATCATTATCATCACTCTTATCTCAAATTCTCGATTATAGTTTATGCAAATTGACGTGTTTTTGACTATATGCTCAAAAACCAAATCTAATGAAGCTTTTATACAAAACAAAATTGCCCGGTAATATTATAAACTCGTGTAGGCCGGAATCAGATGCTTCCCCTGCTTCTATCCAGCGCACCAGCAATCATGTATTGCATTCAAAAGGGCTTGAAACTCACTCTCTAAGGCACACGATGGTTGTCTTGTTTCCGCATGATCAGAACCTAGGTAGATTACTTTTCCATCACGGTAACTAAGCCATCCTGTCTTTGCACTTTCTTGTGGCTTGAATGAAGGATTCATCAGAATTACATTTTATATAACCTGAAACAGGTCGTCTTCAAAGACTCTTGAGACACTTATCTTCGCAAATGGTTCACCTTCTTCTTTAATTATACAATTTAACTATGTTCCTAGAGATTCAGCCGGTGATGATAGCTACGTAGGTCTGGAGGAAGTCACTTTGGACAAAGATGTTGACCTCACCGGGAAAGCTTCTGCAGGGATTATTATTGACCGCCACAGAAACCGTATTCTCGTCGCTGTCGGCGATTTGCTTCGAAATCGGTGGTACTGTGCTTTAGCGGCCTATGATTCTATAATTGGAATCATAGAGAAAAACTCAGACTATTAATATGAGGAGAAATTTAGGGAATGATTCTATAGAGTAGTTAGGGAATGATTTTATATGGTTTAGTGTGAGCAAATTTAGGGAATGATTCTATAGAGTAGTTAGGGAATGATTTTATATGGTGTAGTGTGAGCAAATTTAGGGAATGATTCTATAATTGCTCTTCTAAATATCAGGAGAAGCTATACATTTGGTGGGGTAAAAAAGTAACTAAATAAAATAGGTCAATCACATTTTCTCCTCTTCCTTACTGAATCAGTTATCGATTTGCCAGGAACATCTTGTTATGTTCTAGAAATACAGCGATATTATTTTGGGATGTCTGATTTCATATCAATATTTATCTTGATTTTGTTGATTTTAAACAGTTTTACACTTTTACCAAATCTGTAGCTTCTCTCAAAAACAAAATTGTGGGGAAAAAAAAATAATATTACAAGAAAGATATGAAGTATACATAGAAAAGGATGATTGAAAAAACATTTTTTCTTCGTCTAAGTAGTATATAGAATATTTGTCTAAGAGTTCCTTTTTTCATGTTATATTTTCAGTTTTGTTTTGCTGGTTTTGTTTTATTTTTGTTAAATGTTCTATATTATATTAATTGAAATTTTTGATTTCTTAAATGAAATTTAGTTAAATTCATTTCAGTTTTAGAACCGGAAAAATAAATTTCACATTTTTATTTCTATTTTATGTTCACCAATAGCAACTTTAGAAATAACATTGTACATATATATTACTTTTCAATTTTTAAAAATTTTGTAATATATATATATATATATATTGTGTCGGGTGAAAATACTAGTATCATAATAATACACAAATTGAGGATCAATAGGTAATATTTATCTTTTGTTCATTTTGTTAGGATTCGTTTTTGTTTTTGTTTTTTTGCTTTCCATTCTAACAATATGTATTATGGGATTTGAAGTAGAGTGATACATCAACACACTATGTTACTGTCCCAACTCCCACTATGTTACTGTCCCAACACATCAACACACTATGTATTATGGGATTTTGTTTTTCGGCTTTTTTTTGTTTATTTTTTTTTTACTTTGGATAATCGTTTTACCGATGATCATTGACTAGGTTATAAACAATTCTCACCATATTACTATATTACCATTAATTACCAATCCCTCGATGGTGTCTTATTCGTTTACATTATTAACTAAAACTTTGACTCTACGAAAAAAATTTCCATGATATTTTTAATATTTAATTCCACAATTTATCGAACGCGTGTACAACCTGAGATAGTCGTAGCCCCATACAAAATAAAAAATGGACAATCTAATTCATAGTTCAGAAAAATATATCTGAAAAAAACTATATATACAAAATGAACGAACGCAATCTAACATAAAAGTCACGTTTCTATTGTTCGTTGGAAGGAAAAACGGAATTATTATAATAATACACAAATTGAGGATCAATAGTTTCTATTGTTCGTTGTGTCGGGTGAAAATACCCTTTTAAAAATCTTATATTGCATATAATTCACTTATATCTACGGACTACGGGTTACTATAGATTATAGAACTTTCTCACGAAACTTTTTCTTTTGTCTCAATAAATTAATATATAAGATTGTGACTTTTTTAAGTGAGAACCCTTTATAAAGTGGGGACATTCAAACGTTTTAAATGTGCTCAGACTCGGCTTTGCCTTTGCCCATGTAGTACAGTGTTAGTATAATTGAAAGACCATTTCACGGAGATAAAAAAATGAATTACACTTCACACGCCTATATAATCAAATTTTTTTGGTAGCTTTCAAAGAAACTACTCAGAAGCCAAAGGCCAAAGTAACTAAGTTGGCACACACAAACTTCTCAGAAACAGCATCGCATTTTAAATTATCTTCTCCAACCCACCCTTATATAAGTTTTTTCCTTTGATCAAAATGACCCTTGAAATTCCCATGGTCTCTGTCGTCCATGCATCGGATAAGGCGCATAGTAAACGAGCCTATGTGACTTTTTTGGCAGGTAACGGTGACTACGTGAAGGGAGTAGTAGGATTAGCAAAGGGATTGCGTAAGGTTAAGAGTGCTTATCCTCTTGTTGTTGCTATGTTGCCTGATGTTCCTAAGGAACATAGAGAGATCTTAGAGTCTCAAGGATGTGTCCTCCGTGAGATCGAGCCCGTCTATCCTCCGGATAGCCTTGATGCATACGCAAGGGCTTATTACATTATCAATTACTCAAAACTGCGAATTTGGAACGTAAGTATATATGTAGACTTGATAAAAAAAATTCCATTGTTTGTTTGCGTTTACTTTGAACGTTTACATTTGTTAAAGTACAAAATTCAATTACTTGTTTTCAAATGAAATTCAATAATGTGTTAAAGGGTTTTATATAAGGAAAAAATAATCTTTATTTAGAAAATGTAAACTGATTTGACATTCCAGCTCAAACATAAACATTTGTGTTTGAAACAATTAAGACCATAATAAACCTAGTATATATATGTAATATATTGTTTTTGGTCTGGTAACTTTTTTTTTGGTTTAAATAAAATTTCAAAGGTCTGGTAACTTCATACATAATGTATGATCTTTTAGAGTTAACAGTTATTGAGTTTTTTTTTTCTAACTCTAAAACTTGCAGTTTGAAGAGTACAGCAAGATGGTTTACTTGGACGCAGATATTCAAGTCTATGACAATATCGATGACCTCTTCGAAACGCAAGACGGTTATTTGCATGGCGTGTTGAGCTGTTTCTGTGAGGAAATTTGGAGCTACACGCCACTCTACTCAATCGGTTATTGTCAGTATTGTCCAGAGAAAGTCACGTGGTCGGCTGAGATGGAATCTCCTCCTCCTCCATACTTCAACGGAGGTATGTTTGTGTTTGAGCCAAACCCTTTGACTTATGAGAGTCTCCTTCAGACTCTCCAGGTCACACCACCTACACCATTCGCGGAGCAAGTGAGTCATATATAACTTATAAATTTGGGGTTTCAATATTATGTTCCAAATGGTTTTTGATATACGATTTTGGTTTGACTTTGACAGGATTTTCTTAATATGTTCTTTGAGAAAGTTTTCAAACCGGTCCCTCCGGTTTACAACTTGATCTTGTCTGTGCTTTGGCGCCATCCGGGAAATGTTAACTTGGAGACTGTCAAAGTTGTTCACTACTGTCCACCTGTAAGTACTTTAATTATTTCCAAACTTTATAAGTCCTTTTGATCTTTACTATTGTTATTGATGAAATTAAAAATGATCATAGGGGTCCAAGCCGTGGAGATACACAGGAGAAGAGCCTTACATGGACAGAGAAGACGTCAAAATGTTGATTAAGAAATGGTGGGAAATTTATAACGACGAATCCCTTGATTTTAAACCGAAAACCCCTAATCATTTGAAAGAAACCCTTTCCAAGTCAATTATTATACCTTCAGTGCCCGAACCACCAGTTAACCACTCTCCTGCTGCATCTTCGGCCGCTTGAAAGTCTTGAACACAAGTACACAAGACTGTATTTGAAGCATGTTGGTGTGTTTATTTATCATCTTTGTATTTATTCAGAGAGATAACGCTTATTTAAAACTACGAATCCCTAGATTTTTCAAAACCTTTCAAAATAAATTGTCTTGCCAAATTAAAATTTCAAGTTGGGTTGTTTGATTACTTTGCTCTGTGTATTTTTGTTTATTTTATTGTGTTAAGAATAAGTTTGTCAAGTTTTTTTTTTTATAGAAAATCCATTTTAATATGTTTTTATCGAAAAAATAGCTAATTAGTACTTGAACATTGGAAACTAGTACCGATTAATACATAACAAATTTTGGTATGCAAATTAGTATCTCAATTCCCTAAAATTTTAATATCTAAACCTGAACAATTTGTTTTGGCCAAATCATGTTTTGACATATTTTCCGTCAGTCATATATGTGGCCAAATCATGCTACGCCATCGTTTTGGGCTAAGAAGAACAAAAAAAAACAAACTTCAAACATATATCGTTTTGTTTAAAGCAAAAACTTTAAACAAAATCGGGTCAGACCTTCTTCTTCATTTCTTGAAGAGTATGATTGTGTGAAAGAGATCGAGGCAATGAAACCGAGCTACGTTTTTTTTAAGAGTATATTGTGTTTGGAACTGTTATGATTGGTAGTTACTTTCAATGAAGAAGAAGGTCTGACCCGATTTTTTAAAAAGTTTTTTTCTTAAGCAAAACAACTTCGTTTTTCTTAACCAAAATGACGTCGTATTGTCTAACTTTTCAAAACGATGTTGTTTTATAATTATGTCTGACGGGATAGTGCTGTGGATGTTGTTGTGGCATCCGAGTCATCTACGTTTAGAAATTCATGGAGTTGACTGATGGAAAATAGGTCAAGATTTGGCCAAAAACAAAATTGTTAAGGTTCAGATATTCAAATTTTAGGGAGTTGTGATATTAATTTGCACATCAACAAATTTTCAGGTATTAATCAATCAGTTTCCGCTATTTAGGTACTAATTAGCCGTTTTTCCTGTATTTATCGGATTAATAGTTTCTACAAATCCTAACATAAATGGACAACAAAAAGGGGTTCATAAAAATTTCTGCAGATTGATCAAGAAGAACTGATGCTATATAGATCGATATATTGTTAACCAACATCTTTGAAAAGCTGACGAGATCAACCGGATCAACCGGAGAAAACGAATTCTCCGAACAGAAAATTAAATAAAAGCAAATTTATGTAAGCTGATAGTAGAGCTTTAATTTCTTTCATATTAAAATATTTATAGTTTTTAAAACAAATCTATAATGCGAAAAAAAAACTAATTGGCGATGAGCTAAACGGTCTATATTAGTTGTAGTCTTGTAGACTTGAAAAGTGATGATTATTACGTATTATGTTACATTCATCTCCGATGAGATTCCCATATTTGGATGATTGTTTCCATTTCTGTTGACTTCGCCTCAACAACCATGTGATTGTTTATATGTTTACAGCCATGGCTGGATCTGGAATTTTGGGGCTTGAAAAAAAAAAAATAAGGGCCACTAATTCATTTTATAAACAAAAAGTTTCAAAAAAGTGTTAAAATGCTAATAAAACACAAGTTTTCTAACAAAAAAAAAAGTAAAATTAATTAATAAAAATTTATTGATTTTTTTTTAAATTAGTCTGTTGTATATAAATCTGTTAAAAATGGAGGCCAAAGCAAATGTTTCACTTTGGCTCTACTTACCGCTGAAAACCAAATTAAATGGATTATTAATTAGTAGACTAGTCGATTAGATATAGCAGGTCATTTTACTTATGTACACTAGATTATCACTTTTAATCTGAAACTCTTAGACCATGTCGATTGCAAAAAACCCCATGTGGTTTCTTAATAAATATTTTAATACTAAACTTAAGTTAATAAATCCATTAAGAAACTTGGGTTTTTTTCAGGTCTATTGGGGGTTTTAAAAAACAAAACAAAAGATAGAAAAAGAAGAAGGAAAAAAGATAGAAAGAGAAGAAGTGTTTTTGGTCGAAAAAATTTTTGCTCCAATAGCTGCTAATTTAGTTTTCCATTTACATACGTTGTGTTTTCTATTAGAAATGATGGGCTACCATCTTCTTTTATCTCTTAGCAAAACCGACGTTCAGACACGGTAAAGTCATTATAAAAAACAAATTTATGGCTTGAATGAAATGTAACTAGAAGTCGGAATATGGTAAAGACCTTCAATACACTGAAATTTCTACCAAATTTGTGTGGAATACCATACTTAAAGAATTGAGACTTAGAAACTAAATTAAATTTTTAATTCAATGAAGTGTATTAATTAAAAGGTATTGAATTAAATTCTATACAAAATATTTAAATTTAGTGAATTTTCCAAATTATTAAATCCAAACAAGTGTGATATGTCTGCTGTTTTCTGATTCTATTCCCTCGGCAACTATCCAGGCAATAAAAACCATTCCGATAATTTTGTAAAACTCAGAAAACGAACAAACGTTTTCTTCAAAAGGTTTTACTACAATTTAGTTAGTCACTTACATTCATGGAGAAAACAATGGACTATTCGTGTTTTTATTTATAAGAGATGGACAGAGTTTGACAACAATGGTAGACCGCGTTTGGAGTTCATCTTCGAAGACGAAGAGGTTTTATTAATAACATCTGTGCATATTTTTTTGATTTTTATTTTATCATATTATTTATATTTTATTTTTTATAAAAAAATATCACAGAGTTTCAAAATACATGCAACGGCGAATAATTTGGTACAAGCGTTCTTCCGTCGAGAATTGAATGAAGGAAATTGAAAAGAAAGTAGTGGGTTTATGGTTACAAACTCCGACTGGAATAAATGGAAAACGAGACCAACAAATCACTTCTACTAATTGGAATGGTCGATCCTACTTCTCCTATAGGTATTTGACCCGTGAGACTACCATTGCAACTCTTGTCAATAATCTCCCAACTTGCATGTTTTTGAATTTGATTGATTTCAAATCAATCAAAGATGGAATGGTCGATCCTACTTCTCCTATAGGTAATATGTTTATCGTTTGTATTAGCTATAATATTTTTCACATAATATCTTATTGGTTTAAAATACTTATCTTTTATAAAATGGAAGTGTTGCTAATTACCTTTTATTGATCATTTTTACACAGACTTAATTGGGGTGATTGACGACGTTGGAACTATTAAAACCGGTGTTCAAGGATCATCGAGTTCAACCTTCCAGTTCAATACATGTATTGAATTCCATATTAGAGATTTGAAATAAGTTTATATTTTTATTTATATACAGACCGGATTATCCTCTTTATTTGTTTTTGATATCATTATTTAAAAATTTCAGTGATGTTGTTCTTAAGTGTTTCGCTTATAACAATTACGCTACGGTCTTCCATGATATGTGACAAACTAGAACAACTAATTTGGTGTTCTGTCTACTCAGTGAATGGAGGCTCAGTGAAAATAAAGGTAAAAAGTAATAAATTTAGAAAAGAATAAAAAAGATTTTGTTTTTCATTCATTTAATATTAAATTTCATTGAAATTGTGTTGTATTTCTAATTTTAGAACACAATAAGTTTATTCGAAATGGCGAAGGTAGATCTCGATTCAGATTCAATCCAGAGTTTAAGAAAGTTCAAGATTTTTGAGACAAGTAAATTGGGTTGTAAATCTGATATTATTTTATTTAACATTTCATGGTAATAAACTATGTGTAACATTTGTCTGTATTTGTTTAGGTTTCAACTTGCAGAAAAATCTTCCAATATCAATTCTTAGAAGAATACTGAGGTTGATACATATATCTTCCTGTTTTATGTTTCACATTTTTAATAACTTTCAATTTATTTTATTTGTATAGGAGTGATGTCTTCCTTACTTATGTTATGTAATAAACATTTAGAATTTCTTTTCATTTTACATATTATGCTATTACCATAATGACTTTTAAAGTACAAGATAATTTTATTTCTATCATAGTATAAAGTACCATATTTTACACTTACAATTTTATTTGAATTTGCATATTATGATATTAACAGCAGTAGTTCATAAATCTAAGATGTGACATTATATCCCAAAATCGTTTTATAATTAATTACAACTTCAATGATAGAATACAAATATGTTGAATATTTTACTTTTGGTCAGTTACATGGACAATAATCTATTAAGTCAAATGATTATATATAGTAAACAACAACTATTCGCGATTAAAAAATTATTCGTGTCTGTTCTTTTTCCCATTTCTGCATTTATTCCATTTAAGTAACATCCTAAGTTTCCGTTTTTTTTTACATAGCAAGGAAATGATGTATTTACATAGTAATACATTTCCCATTACTTTCTTTGGTAATGAAATAAAATATTTTTTATAGCGTATCTAATTAAACGTTATTATAATTACTTGAGTAAAGTTCGTTAATTGATTTATTTAAAACATGAATGTATTTTTCCCGGTATGATTTCTATTTTCAAAAAAAATTATTTAGAGAATTTTGATTAAACAATTAATTTTGTGTTTTATTAAAGGAAATATTATTTATACAGAAATTTATCTTAACAAATAAGTCAAAGAATATATTTTTTCGAAAATATTAATTTACTTTTCCTGTACACTTTCCTCACATTTTCCAAAGAAGTATATCATAAAAAGTAATTCATCTTTAATTCTATTAACATATTTCCCTGAACTCACAATTTCACTATTCATCACAGAAAATTGATTTTTCAAGTGTTGCTCGAGATGAATTAGAAGATTTGCGTGCAATGGGTCAATGTTGGGCGATCAATGTCAAAATTTTGAGTATATGGAGGAAACCATCTTCATACGGCGATATTATTGAGATGATACTCATGGATAATAAGGTAAAAATTCAAAACTTCATATTCGCACTTAAACTGCCTTATGTGATAATATATAAAAACCTTTACATATATATTATGTTGTTTAGATTCTTTTAGTCTACTCTATAGTTTTAACAAATTAAATTTTGATTATATTTTGCATTTAATTGTAAATACTAAAAGGGTTTGAAGATATCGGCTAAAATAAAACCAAGTGATGTCCATCATCATGGAGATAAACTTCAATAAGGAGACTGGAAATTTTTTTGGGGCTTCAAAATATTTGTAAATAAAGATGTTCCTAGAAATACATGCAGTATATACTATATTCTACTGAAGAACTCCACCATTATCGAAAAAATTCAGCCCAAGACAGATACTTTTTTTGGATTCTACAAAATTCGTAGATATTTTGAGAAGAAAAGCAGAGCCTTCTGTTTTGACAGGTAAAATTTTTTTTATTTTAAACTATTTATTATTTATTTTTCTTAATCAAACGTTCAATTAACATATTTCTTTTGCATGTATATCCATACATAGAATTAGTTGGAACTGTCTCTGTCGTAGACGAACTCTTAAATAAACTAGGAAAGTATATATTAAATTTTGATCTGGAGGACGCAGAGTAAGTTTTACTTCATCTTCATATTATCTAGGGAATCCTATTATTTAGTTTATTTATTCGACTTTGTACTCTAGCTTATCAAATACTTATTGACAATATTGAAGTGCATGTATTATGGGGTGTGTTGCATTTGGTGATATTGCGAAAGATTTCAAGTATGAGTGGATGTATAGTGGATCTTATCGTTCTGTATGTGTTCTCCGTTTTTGAGAAATTAAAGAAGAAAGAGGTTAGTAAAAATGTTATCAAGTATTAAAGCTCATATATTCCATATTATTTGTATACAACATGTACGTAAGTTAGATTGCTAACAAACAGTTTTTTCATGTAGATCACGATGGATGTGTGTTCATTCTGTTAGGGGTTGTTCACAGTTTTTAATAGACCTACAAATACAAGAAGCCATTGAATTCAAAAAGAAATAGGTAATTATTGATATATATATATATATTTGATCATATATTATGTTCTGTTATAATACTAATTAAGGTGTATTCACATTTATATATTAGGTATCGATCGGATATGGGTTTTTGAGCAATGTTTGCTTAGTAATAACATTTTTTGTAAAATGGTACTTTTCTGAACGATATTTAGTGTTTTATAATAACGTTTATGCTCTTTTTAGTTATGCATTGATTTAATAACAAAAGTAATAATCTGTTTTGAAGTATAATTTATGCCTTTGAATACATATAATAATTAGTTTGGAATCTGAGGATACTTTTTGGCTTTTCACGTAAGGTGTAATAGCACTAACTAAAAAAGGTTTTAAAGATTTGCATGTCAAACCTGATATTTGTGGTGGCAATATTCAAACATCAAAATTTAAACATTATAGTGTAGTTTGGAAATGAAAACCACACAAATTAGAACGGGCTGGGTCTGTCAGATACATAAGTAAAATCAATTTATATGTACTCTATATTATATACTCAAAACCATCAAATGCAAAGACAATACCAATCATCCTAAACTGGACCAACCCAATATGGTTAAGATCCCTTGGTGAAAAAAAAACAATTCTCTATCTTATATAAATTTAACATCATAAGTCATTTTATGGTTTTGATTTTTTTAATCCTGAAGTTTTTGAATATTTTCTGTACTAAGTCTTATTTAAGGAAATATATACCTTTCTTACTTATTTTGTTCAAATATGTAATATTGTATAAGAACATTTGTATGAACACAAATTTAGACTCTTGGACCGTTGCACATCAATCCATCCATATTAGGCCGACCATTTGATATACCTCCCTAAAAAAATTTCAAAACAATAAATGACAAATTCAGTGCCTTTTAGTTCAGTTATTATATATATTTATACTTTTACAACTATATGGTTATTTTTAGTAACAAAGCTTCTTATATCTATTTTTTGCAGGTTCAACGAGGAGATGGATTTAGGTTCAGTTTGTGATAATTAAAAAGATATTAGAGAATGACAGTGTTTTCATATATGTACAAGTGTTTCTTTATTTGTCATAACTCTTCTTACACTCTGAACTTTTTTTCATATTGACTTATTCGAATCAGTTATATAAGTGTTATCAGTATGAATAATATATAGGCTAATCCAACTACTCAATAATGGAAAAAGGACATACCTTGTCAACATTTAATTTGTAGTTTTCTTAACAATTCGATTTTTTGGGCCATTGCAATGTTTTACACTCTATAATTGCTAAGGTGATGGGCTTTGATGTTTTAATATTTTTAAAATTGTGAACGAATTTGACACACTTTCTATATACATTTGCATTTTATATTTTATTAATTAATCTGTTTATTGGTCATACCATTAGTTTGCTTTATATAAGTGGTAAATTGATGGGCTTTCATTATAATATAACAAAAAGTTGGTAAAAAATGTGATGAGTTTTGATTGTTTAACATTTGTAAAACTGTCAACAATTATGCTTTCTATTTGATATATATAATTTACTAAATTTGCATTTTAATTTGCCCCATTGATTGTTAATATATACTTAAAATATAAGTCTATATCATAAATATCATATGTATCGATGTATATACTTTACATATCGTTACGTCCATAACATACAACTCTGAACTAAACATTATTACCATATAACTTAATATTTTTGATTATATTTTTAGCCTACAAAAATTACGTTCACCCATCTATGGGCGAATTAGAATCTAGTATATTATTATACTAACATCTCATAAATCTTACACCCAAATTTTTATTCAAGATTTATTTGTATAACAAATTTAATTTGTTTAAATTAAACATTTCTATTTTTAAAAATATTCTGATTTGGCACGTATTACAAAATCTAGTCTGACTTAATACTAAAGGCAAAATATAATATCCATGTTTCAGGGAATCTTTACCGGGTAGGATGGTTGGTTAAAAAACAGCATAAAAGGCGTAAAGAAGAAATGAGAAAAATTAACTAAACGAAAGTTGTAAAAGGTTGAGGGAATCCAAATGTGTGAAGAAAACTAAGTATTTCAGGAATCCAATTTGAACCTTAACGAAATGAATAGATATTTGTTTTTCATGAGGCCCAATAAGCATCTCTTTGTTGATATAATTGGTAGAGAAAGAAGATGATATAACTGGTAGAGAAAGAAGATGCTAAGCTCTGTAATCTCCTTTTTTTTCATTTGGTTGGGCCACTAAAGTTTCAATTCCATATTTTTAAAAAATTCTTATTCTTCGTTCAAAACTTAATAAACAAATCAATAAACAACCAACAAGATGTTCTTTAAAAACGTGTTTCTGTAAAGTCATGAATTGTATAATTCGGGGTTCCCTACCAGAGTTCATTATCTAGTGTACAATCTACACATTTTGTCTATATATAGATAGCATACAAACCATTAAAATTATTATTCTACAATCTACATATATTCACACATTTTGGGTCCAACTGGTGACAATATCAGGAATAAGAGGAATGATAAGGAAAAAAAAATAAAAGAAATCATATGGAAAAATTTAAAAGGAATCAATACAGAGAAGGAATGGAATAAACTGTCACAATAAATGGTAACCAAAAACAGGAATGAATATTTTAAAATAATAAATCTTCAACAATTAATAGCTTAAAAGAAAAAATGTTTTTCTTAATAGAGTCGATTGTCTACGGCTTTAGCGTCTCCTTTCTTTCCACAATGCATTCAATAACTACAACATAAGAATCTGCATTATTGATCCATAAAATAGTATCCAACTAATAACTTAGCATTAAGTTTTTTTTATAGAGAATTGACAATATATCAAATAACGTGTACGTTAAAGTAATAGTAGACAAACCTATAACCGACGACGAGAAGCAGGTCTTTTGTTGGACCACAATTCTTGGGCAATATGATCTCGAACAATTTTCATATAAACCTCTGTTGATGTTTCTTCATTTGTTCGTCCATCATCTTCATCATCTGAAAGATTGTTCTCATTTTGATGCATACCATCGCCCATTTCTGCTTCTTCAAAATCAAGATCTTTAATCTTGTTCCACCGAATAAAATTATGAAGTCCCATTGTTGCAAATATAACATTTCTTTGCGTTGAAATATTATACCTTGGAAATTCTCTAATAACCCTCCACTTTTTCTTCCATACACCAAAAGTCCGTTCAATAACTGAACGCAATGATGCATGCCATCTATTGAACATTTCCTTACTATTTTTTGGAGGCTCCTTATTTATAAACTCTTGAAGATGATATCGAGTACCATCTTTTTTGTCTTTCCGATATGGAGCTAAATATCCAAGTCTATTTGCATAGCCAGAATCTACAAGATAATATTTTCCGTCAGGAGGTTTAGGAAACATTGGATCATCTCGTATAGCGGTTTCCAGCACTCGTGAGTCATGTGTTGATCCAGCCATTCCAACAAAACAATACGTAAATAGCATATCGTGATCACAAATTCCTAGGACGTTAAGACTTGCTGTTCCTTTTCGGTTCACAAACCGTAATGTATCTCGACCTGGAGTCACCATAACCGGTATATGTGTCCCATCAAGAGCCCCGATACATCCACTAAAATAAGGCCAATACCGTCTATCTCCTTCTAAACTATTGGATATTGCTTCTAACTCATAAGCTGTTCTTGGCCGTAAATAGTCAACAGCCAATCGTACCATTGCCCCAAGAACACAATGAAATTTTCTATATATAGTTTCTTGGGCATGGCCAAATCTTAAACTGATGTCATACTGAGTGTCATTTTGGCCACAAAGAATCAAGAATATTGCAACACTCTCATCGACTTTCATATTATGTGACTCTTGTAATCCATACTTTTGCTGAAGAACTTCACATAAACGGATGAATGCTTCTGAGCTCATGCGAATAAGAGTACGACAAGAATTTTCGTTGTTGTAGATTTGCCCCCTAATGATTTTCCAACCATTTCCCCACTCTACGTTCATTGGCTTCTTAAAAAAATTCTTTTGGTAGTACTCTAATATAGGATGTATGTACCTTTGAAAAATTTGATCTTCCTCCAATAACATTAACTCTGATAGCTCATCCTCATCTAGATTTTCAACTCCACGTAACCTTAATTCAATAATACGAAGTTCCTGCAAAATTTTAGAATGCATAGTATTATTAATTTAAGTAGAAAATAACTTCAAGCTTGTATTAATTTAAGTAGAAGTAAAAAACACCAAAATTCTAAAGCACGTAAATATTATTAAAAAAATCTAGGAAACACTAGAGCAAACACCAAAGCTCCAAAGTACTTAAATTAAAGACCTAACAAATAAAAAAATCCCATAACACTCAAGCTAGCTTGTCACCATCCATTCCATCATCAAGTATATTGACGATATTTGGTACTTGTTTTGTTGATTCTTCTAATCCAGAGGATTGTATCCCAAGAAACTTTGTGAATTCAGTTCTACCAATTTCAGTCCCCATAGAACTACTTCCAATCATTCCAATATTTTGAAAGAGATTTGGACTTGTCAGATTGACAAAATTGCATGGATGCCCGTATCTATCAGTGCCAAGTAAACTCTCCAGATATCTGATCTTAATTTCTTCACTCTCTAATTTCATGAAGGCTTCACGAACATCCTCATCGCTCTTCAATAACTTATTTGCTGCCCACCAAAATATTCCAAGTTGTTCAATTGGAAGTTTTTCTAGAACAGCTGTTGCATCACCGTAGGTTAGCTTTTGAACTTTTCGCGAGCGTAATTCTTCCAAAAACTCTTGACGAGTATCTATTACACGTTGAAACTCACTCTGGACCTGCTTTTCAAAGTTAGCTCTTCTTCTTGGAGGACGACGGGCTGGCGTGTTTCGAATTGACGGTTGGGCTCCGTGATCATTAGCCACAGCCATAGTTGGTTCAGCAATTTGAACTTCTTGCTGGTCCATTATTATGCCATCACTGCTAGGTAAAGTAGGTTGAATCTGCAGGAGATTTTGGCTAAGCATATGGGGAGAATACCGTTCATCTTGATCAACGTCATGTTCACCAAAAATTTGGTCCAACAAGTCTTTGAACGGCAAAGGCTTTTTTTGCAATACACGAACAAATTTTCCTTTATTACCATATTCCTGCGAATAGTAATAAAAAATTAGTCACAAGAAAAATATGTTAGCAAGAACCTATATAATCAAATAGACATGGATAGAGAATTACCGCAATCCGATCAGTCCACCACATTTGCGTCATATCTATTTGTCCAGTAGATGGATTAACCGCAACACCAGTGCGGTTTATCAACTGACCATTAATAACCCATAGCTTACGCAAGTAACCAATTTTGTTATTTATCTCTGGATCCCATGAAATCTTGTCTCCCATCAACTCATAATATTTGTTTTCAATTCTTCTTCTAGCAGCAACATCTGGCATTCTACTACGATAATCATCTGCTTTTAACTCCTCAATGACAAGTTCAAGCATAACTTGACAATTTTTATCCTTCCAAGCATACTAACGTATATATTTTGTAACAGTTAATTGATATGTTTCATATTAGTAAATCAATAAATTTGCAGAATACAAGATATCTAAAAACAAGTACCTGGCCTTCACGAATTGTTCTTGCCTCATCATTTGGTTGACGTCCGCCGCGACGTGTCCCACTATTGTTTCTTGAACTTGACATGATACCTATAACAAATTCATATGATACATGTGTTATTTTCAAGCATCATTAAACACATGCTCTTTGCTATAAACTTATTTTCAAATTATGTACCTTTTCTTCTTTCTTTGTCGATGTATTAGGTTAGAGAAAGAAAAAAATTTCTCTCACATATATAGAAGTAGAAGAAGACGAGGTGTGGAAGATTCACGTCAAATGTCAATTTTCTATAAATTTACTTTAAAATATTTACAAAACAATATATTTTTACCAATTTTTATTATTTTCTTTCTATTCCCTATCAAATTTGATGAGGAATAGATTTGTTCTATAATTCCTCATATAAGAAGGAATGAAAAGGAATTATGTGTAACAGATATTCCATCTAACTGGTAAAAAAAATTAGGAATAAAGAGGAATACCATATTCCCAATCATTCTTTTCCTCAATTGTGATCACCAGTTGGACCCTTTGTCTTAATTTTTTATATATAGAATAGAAAATATTATTGTTCAAAAATGTGCTTTTATATTTTAACTAAACATATCTAATATAGTTGAAATTATATTTAATTCAACATAAGAAAGTAAATATACATGTCCAACCTAAAGATACTATATAAAATAAACTCAAATCTTTTATAAGATTTGTATTGCAAAGAATACGTACTATGAAACCAGAACCAATTCTTAAAAGATTTGTTATATTCTTCTTCTTTCTACCACTTATATTCTTATCATTTGTCTCCACGATACATTTTCTCTATATAGAATCGTCAACGTACGGGAGTGGGTACCTACCAATAAAGATCACATGTAAATATGGCCAATCTTTTGACACAACCATATGTGGATGACAATTTTGTCACGTGCCCTAATAATTTTCCGAATTTATTATTTAAAAATATCAATTAAATCTACGAAGTAAATAGCACTGTTAGGGCACCATCATAATAATGCTGGCGAAATGGTGGGGTATAACATTGTGTGGAAACAATTTAAACGAGTCTCTCATCTGTACGAAAACTTGGAAACAATATTTGCATCATAGATTATGTGAATTGGTAGGTAGCTTAAAGTATTCATGTAACTGTTAATCAGATGAAGAAAAAAAAAAACTGTTAATCAGATGAACACATGGATATCGAAATTGCTATTGGTGTTTTCTATTTTTAAAATCAGCTGAGGTGCAAGCACAAAATTATATAATCACTTCCATTCGATCAATCGAAATAGTGGTTTGCTTTAAACCCATTTGAAAACTCGGTGGATGTACTAATCGACGATTAAATTCACTTTTAAAAAACTTTAACAAGAAAAACTCGGTGGATGTACTAATCAAAGTTTTTGGTCAATCCCAAACTGACCCAGTTTTGGATAAACTGATCCAACTAATCAATACACCGGTCTATCCAGTAATTAAGAGATGGGTTCAACGATTTAGCAATAAAGAATACTATTCAGCGATTAATTAGTCTCTATAATTAGCAATTCTGGTTAATCGTTTGTTAAACAACAAACCATTTCTTAAAAAAAATTTGGTCGGCAATACCTGTATTAACGAGAAATGATACATCGTTTTTTTTATTACATCATACATAGAAGAAAACGTAGTACATAGTGTGAACATTCCATAAAGAAAAGACAAAAGGAATAGGATCAAATTTAACATACACTCCCGTAAAGGGAAGAATCTTCAAAGCTTTGTTATTGTTTTTAAATTGACATGAATTTGTATTTTAACCGAATCCATAATTCTTCAAGATAAATTGGTGCATCGAACGAGGTTAAACAAGATGAACGTTTGACCCAAGAAACAATAACGAGGTGAAACCGTGATTGTATTGAAAAATCAATGTAAAAACCGAATCGAAGAAAATATAAAACGATTTGTTAATTTATTAATATATTTCATATACTAGAAAAATTGTAACCAAAAAAAAAAAACCTCCATTTATTTGACAATCGTTCATATAAGAACTAATCACAGATTTTTTTTTAGAATTATTATGGAAAGTGAAGGTAGCATTGCATCTTTTTTTGTTTTAACAATTGCACGTAACATTGTTTTTTGTATATTAATTTTCAATTAGCAAATCATTAGTTGACAATATATATATATATATATATTACCATTATTAAAACAAAAAAGTATATTTTTCTTACAATGACATTCAGTCTAAATTCTAATTGATAGCGAGCTGGCATAAAATTACGATTTAAATAAACACTAGATTCTATTATGTGCATTCGCACATAAACTATTTTTAGTTTATTGCTATGTGTTTGTGTAATATAGTTTATTGATAGCTCACAGATTAGAATTACATATAATTTGTGTTTTTATTGTTGTTTATATATAATTTATTAATATGTGATAATTTTTTTGTTTATATATTATTTGCTTCTATTGATTTTTTTTTAGTATATATGATCGTGATTAGAAAAATATTATTCTAATCCGTCTGTTCATATTAATCCAAAAAGTACATCGATTATAAAAACGTCATTATAACATGTCTATTTATATTAATTCGAAAAGGACCGCAATTATTAAAACATAATTCTAATCCGTTCATTCATATTATTTGTATATTTTATATATTTTTAAGTTTGAATATTTAAAAATTTAGACTTATTTAATAAAAATATACAATAATATACCATTTTTATCTTTCTCATTGAAAATATTATCTAAATTTTAATATTTAAATTAAATCTAAATTAATATCTGATTTATTATTTTTGCACAAATATAATAATAATTTATTTTATAATTTTTGATAAATAATATAATCTATATTTAAAGAAATCTATAACAAATTTAAATTTAAATTTTCGAATTTATTTTAAAATATAAATTAAAAAATATATATAATTTTATTAATATTATTTATTTGGTAACATAAATAGAAGTGATCCAAAAACAGAATAGTAGAAAATTACGTAATACTTGTTTGGACACAAAACATAATTCTGTTTTAATAGAATAGATTACACATATTCAAATTATCCTGAGATAGTAATATATTATATACACTACGTACAAAGTATTGGTACAGTACCCAACCCAAGTTTTACAGGTAATGAAGAGTTTAGATTTTGGCTCCAAATTACTCCAGTTATTTAAAAATAATAATGTTGGGTAATTGTACAGGAAACATGATGAACCAAAGACAAATATCTCAATATTTTGAAGTAAAGAACATTTTTGGCCAAATATAGAAAACGATAAGATCTTGACTAATGAAGAAACCAGGAGGTTGAAGGTCTTGTGGTCAACTGATAAAGGGAAAAGTTTGGAACGCTAACATGTTTCAATTT